CGCCCCCCCCCCCCCCGAAGCCTTTGAAAGGATTAACCGGCGCCAGCCGACGCACCGGCCTCTCCAGCCCACTCACCTTGCCCCGCGCCCCGGCCCCGAGGTCGCGCCAGGTCCCGAACTCGCAGCCACCCTGCCGGACACTCCTGGGCGCCCCCAAGCAAAGAGGAGCTCCCTCCTGGCGAAAGGAGGGTTAATCCCCTTCCTCCCAATCCTCTATAGCGAGTGGCTGAGTGGAGCGTCACTCAGACGGGGGGGCGGTGACGAGGGCGGGGCCGGCTTTTCATTCTTGGTTTCTAAGGGGTGGGGTTTGCGCTGTGTGGTGTTGCTATTGCGGGAAGTTTCTCCCTCCCCACCCGCCCAGCAAACTTTAACAACAGCCTTTCAGTGTTGTTCAGCTTTCTAAAAATGGTTTTCCTGCAGTGATGCCTCCTGCCGCCTGCTTTGGATGTAGAGTCCCCGAAAATAAAAAACATATATATGGGAGCTGTACAGATTTGTGTTTTTGGGCTACAAGTCCCACAGTTGTGTTGGGAATTCTGGGAACTGTAGTCCAAAACCACCGATCTGCACACCTCTATTATAGCTATAGATACACATATACACACTCCCTCCCCCCAACAAGCTCAGAGCAAAGGAACTGCTTGGATAGCTCAGGGGAGTTAGGCACGTTGGTTCAGTTCCTCCTTCACAAGGACTGGACTTGATGATCCCTTCTGGCTCAGCAGTTCTCAGATGATGATGATGATGATGATGTGATTCGTCTTCATCACCTTATTCTCACAACAACCCAGTGGGTTAGGCTGTGAGAGAGAGGTACTAACTAAATCAAAGGCCTAGTGTATTTTCTATACTAACCACCGATGCTGAAGAGGCTGAAATTGACCAGTTCTATGAAGAATTACAACACCTTCTAGAACTGACACCAAAGAAAGATGTTCTTCTCATTATAGGGGATTGGAATGCTGAAGTAGGGAGTCAAGAGATAAAAGGAACAACAGGGAAGTTTGGCCTTGGAGTTCAAAATGAAGCAGGGCAAAGGCTAATACTGTAGAGTTTTGTCAAGAGAACAAGCTGGTCATCACAAACACTCTTTTCCAACAACACAAGAGGAGAAACTACACATGGACATCACCAGACGGGCAATACCAAAATCAGATTGATTATATTCTCTGGAGCCCAAGATGGAGAAGCTCAATACAGTCAGCAAAAACAAGACCTGGAGCTGATTGTGGCTCTGAGCATCAGCTTCTCATAGCAAAATTCAAGCTTAAACTGAAGAGAGTAGGAAAAACCACAGGGCCAGTCAGGTATGATTTAAACCAAATCCTTATACACTGTGGAAGTGAAGAACAGATTTAAGGAACTAGATTTGGTGGACAGAATGCCTGAAGAACTATGGATGGAGGCTCATAACA